AAGTTATCTCTGAAGCTCAGGGTGAGAAACTGAATAATGGTGACACATACATAGACAACCACATACATACATACATAGAGAAATGGGTTCCACTAGGGCAAGGGGGGGGGGGGGGTTGGGATGAGGTTCTTTTTGTAGCTCCAAGTTACCAGGACCCAAGCTATCAGGCACAACAACACATAGTGACCCAAAATCAACCCTTTTCTTTTGTTAGTGTCATTTCAAAATGATTTTCAAAAGTGAAAATCTTGTCGGGACAGGACATAAAGACTAAATCACTCAACAACAAACCTGTATGCAGTGATGTAAATGACTACAAATATTTCTGATCAATATTTCTCCCTTTTCTCAACAACTGACTTTCTCGAACAAATGACCCGCGTCCTCCGACTGTACACCACCCGACCTTATTGACCAGGAATGACATAATTTCTTATATCCCCCTCTTGAAGGCTGAACAACTGCTACCACATCAACAGCATGCATTGATTCCGGGTCCCTGACAAGAAGTATTTAGTCACCTACTAAGCAGTAAGCTGGGAAATTGGAAAGCTAATTCAGTAATGAGTCTAATTTAGGATCTCCCATTACATATAGCGCCATGATTATGGTATCCGCTGACACAGACACCAGCATAATACGGCAACCCTACACTACCACAGTATATAGCCATAGAGCTCATGATAATTCTCTCTCTCCACATACACACACACACACTAAAAGTGACACCACCAATCCTAATAGGACTCACTTATATATCCCGCTGTGTCGATGAGACTTATCCGGGCGAGCAGAAGCCATTACTTCCCTCCCAGTCTCACAATCTCCTACAACAAAAATATCCTAGTCCATACACTACTGTTCAATCCTTCAGCGTCTATATCTCAATGGAAGAAGACTCCAGTGCTCATCATAACTATCACCATCATCATAATCTCGGTGTTCTTCCACTCCTGTCTGTGGTCCAGGCCTATGTGATGTGATGTGCCTTCATAAGTATCCAGTGTCCTGGTGGCACAGCCAGTGTGTTATGTACCATATGACACCAGCAGTAGTTGTAGACCAGGTGGGACCTGCCACTGACACACTTCCTTCTACTGCTGCTCAGTCACAGGTCATACCGCTGTTACTTATACAGCGTTTGGGGCCCCAGGACCTCACATGGATTGTCTACAGCTATTGGGGGGGAGCTCTGAGAAGAATTTCATCAGCTGTGTTATGTTGTAAGAATTCAGTATTTTTTTCTTGGAGGTAGAAAACTATTTCAATATTTAGCTGTTGATTGAAGAAACAAATTACTTTCTTCTTATTGGCGAGCTGCTATGACAAGTTTTTTCTTCCTGCTGTTGGGGCACTCAGGTCATGGGTGTTGCAAATACATATTCTGGGGCCAAGGACTTAGCATGTATTGTTATGGTAATGGGGAGAGGGGGGTGTATGTGAGTTATTCATACTTTGACTACAGTTGCACAGTCACAATGCCCTTCCATGTATTACGAATAGCAATGGGATACATATTAGGAATAATTTTATGTCACACAATTTTATTTATTCATGTTCTGGGTTACTAGCTGGAAATGGGCTGTAAATTGTTAATAAGTCATAAATCCTCCCTATTCATGTTCAGGGTTATTGGAAATGAAAATGTAATAAAGCTACTGTAACAGCAAATGGATAATTTTATCATTTTACATCATATCCTTTTTTTTAAACCATGTCCTGGTTTACTATAGCCTTAGGTTTTGTCATATATCATAAATCATGACTAATTCTCTCTAAAAGTCCACCCATGTATAATGATATTTTAGATCTGTGTATTATTAGGCATTCAAGCATGCAAGAAAGTGGACCATTACCAGTTCCACCTCAGTGCATACCCATGTGTACTGACATACGTGAAATATAATGTTTTTATATTAAATGCACACTGTCAGTAATTGCTATACAAGTTATGCAACAATAAGCAAAATCATGTGCTAGATTATTAGCCATTTGAAATGTATGTAAGGTTATTGTGTTCACAAACCATAATCAAGCCCTCCTTTTCATTTTTCTATAGAAAAAAGCCCATACTTGTTTTTCCTTTATGCTGAATGTGATGTCTTTAGACATCGGTGTCATGCAAGCATGCTCTAAATGGATGACCAAATACTTTCAGAATGAAGATACTGTTCTTTTCTTTTTAATTGTCTTAGATCCTGCCCCTTACCTGTATATGTTTTAAGGAACAATCTACTTATATATGTGTTTTTATATATGCAACAACAATGCTTGTTTATCTTATCAAATCTCACAGGTCACTGACATCAATGAAAAAAAAATTAATTAACAAAATATAAAATAAATGAAATAATTAAAAATCAATAAAAAGAAAAAAAGTTCTTTGTGTTAATAATGCATATTTGGGCATTAAAATCTAAGTCCTGGGTAAAATGGATGGCTGGAAATAACCAACAGAAACCAAGACCAGATTTGGAATTTCCTGGACTAAATATAAGGCACTCTATGATATAGAAAAGGATGAGATGAAGTCACAGGTCATTACATTTACCCATAAAGATATTATGGCATTTAACTGTTCTATATATATTTTCTTTCATTATGTTAAATAGCATTCAATTTCTAGAGAGGAAGTCTTGCATTTTCATATTTGGATTTTGTGGTGAGGTATTTTGGTTCAATATTATTGTAAGAATGGGAATGGAAGAGGGGGATTTCCCTTAGTCCTCTGTGTGTTTGTGTGTTAAATTTAAGCCTCCCCCCTCCCCTATCCAAAGGAATTAAGTATATTCTCCTTTCATGAACTAAGCCATATACTATGCCATGCGGTAGGTGAATTCAGCAGAATCAGACAGCCCAACAAGAAGGATCATACTGAGATGGATCGCCCCATCTCCAAGGTAAACGCGACATTAGACCCTAATGTTTAACTTGAACTGAGGATTGATAGAATTTACAGAGGAAGTCTGTGACTGGAGATTTGTCTTATTCACCCATGTTCTGGCTCTCAAGGAATTTTCCTTGTTTATTAATAATCTAGTCAGAAAGAGAGAGAGAAAGAGAAAGGTGGGAGATGGAGGAGGGGCTAATTTTATACTTGGTCGGACCCTCCTGTGAGATGTGTTTTATTTATACATGGTCTGGCCCTCATGATAATAATGTATACTGAAAGTCACATATTGCACTCTTGTGCAATATCAGATATTTATAAATCATACTTTGAATGGAGAACTATGGACCTTTAAGGCAAAAAAGGGCTGGTTTGTTTACTAGCTACAAAGGTCACAATGTAATCAGCCCTGTTCAAACAATATGCTGTTAAGTTGATATTCAGTTTGAGCTAGGCCTGATGTAAACGTAGCTCAGAAGATTTGTTCAGGATACACTCAAAGAATGTTTGTATATGCATGTTTTTGATAAAAAAAAATTTTAAGGTTTTTTAAAAGAAACAAAATATTTGGAAACTAGACTCCTAACCTCTGCCAATGCAGCTCAATATATTCACAATACACAGTAACAAATTGTAATTTTTTGTAACTAGTCCACACTTTCTAAAAAATTCGATCAAAATTTCCATAACTTTTTGCTATTGCTAAGAGACAAACAAACAAACAAACTGGACTGAAACAGAATTGAACATTCAAGTACTTGCCAGACCTTCATTGCCAATCCCATATGTGTATTTATTTAGCTTATTGCCATGATCAACTGACCGCAGAAACCACTGACCTCTACATAACTTACCAGTACAATGGGCAATATACCATCTGAATAGCCAACAGTCTGACCACTTGGCCTCCCCCATCAACATATATGGTAGTATGGGACAGACTTCCCTTGCAAAGGGTGCTCATTACTATGTATCTTTGTGTAATCCTTTACATTGTGCCTTTTCAAAGTGACAATGCAAGATGTTCTAGTTTGTTTTTTATCTGGTAACACAACTCCAAGAAACCAAATATTTTTCAATATTTGGTAGAAGACAAATTCATGGCAAAGCTTTTTGTCTTAGTTCTTAACGTATGAGAATCCATCTTCAACATTAACACATAAAAAAGTTGCGAAAGACCTGCCTGTGAGGGCACAATTTATATTTTTTACCATCACTAATAAAAATATACCAGTCTCTATATCTATCTTGTGTGTGACTTGTGTCTTCAATCTGGTTCACAAGTAAAAAGTTTTCCTTTCAAACCACTGTGATGCAAAAGCTACCACTTTTCAATTAATCTTACAGGAACTAAGTTAAAAATACCAGTGTATACATGCCTATAATGGGAATCACCAGTTTCCTTTCCTAATTCACCTTTTCTTGTCTTTCATTTCCACTGATTCAATATCATTCATTATTCGGAGAAAAAATGAGATTTGCATTCAAATCATTCATATCCTTTATCACATTTCTGGCATATTCTTATTAATAAGAATCACAGGCTATAAATCTTCACTGCAATATCATTCTACTAAATTAATTGCATTTGTCAAATAGAAACATAATTTTCCATGGAAATGAAACTTGGGACAGAACACTTCCTTATTTCGTCAATCTTTCCTAAACTGCGACCTCTGGTATGTTGACCACGTATCCACCATTATTACGTCATGTTTTTCGCCTTATGTATGCAGATGTGGTTTACGTCACAAATACAGCATTTCCTTCTCACTCTAATTACTTTCAAGGACTTGCAACAGTGCTGCCATCTTATGGTCAATTTCTGTTTCAATGTGATTGGCCAATAGTCTGCTGACGAGCATGTTAATCACAGATAAAACAAACCCTCAGGTTACAATACTTCACTAAACTCAGTAATCTTGACATAGCTTGAACACTATGGGATTTCAAAACTTGTTTTTTTAGTTCAATGAAAATTGGAGTTAAATAATGTTAAAATTAATTTCTGCTAGTACTAAAATTGAAATCTGTTATAATAATTGACAGTATAACTAAGCCACACAGCCATGCAGAAAAAAAAAAGAGTAAAATAAAAACATATTCTTACTTTTTCTTTTCTTCTGCTGTCATGGCAGCCAGTTCGTAGATCTGTGGACCTACAGCAGACGTGCTCACCAGGAAAAACGCTTTCTTATCTGAAATAAGCAAAAACAGTCAAAACACAACATTTTTACATGGAGTTTGTTGTTGAAACAGCCAAAACATGCATAAATTTTAGAAGTTACTTTAGGAAATTTAGCCCATAGGAATACACAACATGACATACAAGTGGTTCCAAAAAGAGAGTGTCATAAAACACAATGTGCACACTGTCACATCTAAAACACCGTCACAGCAAAAACAGACATGTTTAAACACAGTCTCACTTATGACATTATCAAATCAAACACTTTGTAATATCTAGTGCACTGTCACACTCAACACACTGTCACACCCAACACACTGTTACACCTAACACACTGTTACACCTAACACACTGTTACACCTAACACACTGTTACACCTAACACACTGTTACACCTAACACACTATCACAACTGACTCACAGTAACACAATAAACACTGTCACAACAAACACAATGGCACACCCCAATGGCACAACTAACACAATATCACACTGACCTGTAGCTACATTCCTAGTGAGCAGGTTGGTCAGCTTGATGATGGGACTGTGAGTGAATTTGGTGTCCTCTTTGCCCACTACCATACTGTGACATTTGAGGACTAACTTTTCATCTTGTTTTTGCAGTAGCATAAGAATGTCATTTAATAAAACTGCATGTAAGTCTATTGACTTTGTCCTATTCACTCTCCACGTGAGTGAGCCATCATAGATTAGTGTATAGTTTGTTAAGTCAATATTCTGAAAGGAAGAAACAAGTCTTGTGATCTTTATAATGAAATACATGTTGCGAGCATAATTATGCAAGATGTTTCCACATTATTAGCATAGTCTGGTTGTAAACCTTGCATCATTTACATAGCATTTTAAGTATTCTGTGTGTGTGTGTGTGTGTGTGTGTGAGAGAGAGAGAGAGAGAGGGAGAGACTACTTACTTTATATTCTTGTAGAACAGCATAGTTATCCATTGCCTTCCTGTCAATACGTTTGGCCAAATCGAGAAGCTTTTGATGGTTCTCAAAATCAGCCATTGTCTTATTAACATGTGTAAGAATATCTTTACTTAATTTTAAAGCTTTTTGTAGCTTTTCCTGATCTTCATCATTTACTGTAACATAAAAAAATATATATTTTATTTAATTTAGAATCATAAGGTATAGGTTCAATTATCAGCGAGACTTAAACATGTATTTCTGTTGTCTAACGCAAAACAAATGCTTTAATGCCATAACATGAACCACTATTCTATTGTAATTCCAATAAAAAAAAAAAAAATAAATAAATAAAATAACAACAAAATGGCCACAAATTAATTATGAATATAATATATATATTATTAAAGGAAAAAATCAATGGCATTTTATAGACTTTTTCTTCAAAAAATAAAAATAAAATAAATAAAAAAAAAAAAAAAAAAAAAAGAGACCCAGTCTTTTATAGTACACTATTGTGGATCAAAAGCACACTCACCAGAAGTATGCTTCATTAAATTTTCAATGAGAAGAGGATATTTGGTCAGTCTCTGCATTTGCTGTGGAATAAGCGACTGTAATTCTAACCTACGGCATTGAGGGTGAGCCTCTGCCTCCTGAAAAATAAATAAATAAATAAATAAATTAAAAATTGAATTAATTTTTTAAAAACATTTATTAATTAATAATTATTTTGGCATGTAAAACACTATGGAAAAAGTTGTTAATTTTCCAATTAACACTTTTTCATTTACTAATTAACTTGCAGAATAAACCATTCATGCCACTTACTATTAAAAAACTAGCTAGTTTCTGGTCCTTCCGCCTGCGGTTTTTAAATGTATCTAAAGCATAGGACTGTTTTTGGCAGAATGTGGCGACTTCCTCTTGGAACTCCTTCCCAGCTTCTCCCTCAAACTAGAAATAAGATAAGGCAATTTTTTTTCTTTGTCTCTTGTATGATGATGACAGAAATAGTTCACTGTTTCTGAAGACAATACACAAGTTTTTATCAATGAGACATGACATTTCAATCTTTCATGGTAGACTTACTAACTTGTCAAGTCCTATTTGGAAAAGATGTACCTTTTTATCAAAGAAATATGTTTCTATATGATTCAAGACCCAGTTTCCATTCATATGTCTTTTTGATTTACCCATGTATCAAATCAATTTACAAAATTACTAAAGATTAATCACCTCTGGAAAAACAAATAATGCAGAAAGACAGCCAGCCAGCCAGCCAGCCAGACAGGCATAAAAGAGAGAAGAAAGAAAAAGAAATAAAAATTAAATTCTGATTTAAATGTAACTGGTTACAATCACATCTCTTGTCAGTGGTGGACTTACCCTGGACAACAATATGTCCCCTACAGCTTTCACCAGGGGGTGTTCCTTAGCAATGGCCCGCATCTTATTGTTTAATTCACCTGAAAATCAAAAGCATTCTGTGCATTTAACAGAATTCTCCATAAGGTCCTAAATTATATTAAGCATCCTGTTGAAGTATATATGTTAATTAAAGTTTTTGTATATAAAACTGGACTTTAAAGTGTAACAAAAGATATGATGATGCATATTTATGGTGGCAAATTGTTTTTTTTTTCTGTGACGTCAAATCAAAAAGTCTGGTTATTACTTCTAGGAAATCAAACTTAACAAAGCCACACAAGGAAAAGCATTGCTAAGGAAGTCTTGAAGCATTACAACTTAACACAACTGCCATTACCTATCTACCTTAATTAATACAAAAATGTTTTGAGATAATTCTATACATTATTTATGCCAATTATAAGATGAATAGGATATAAAGTACATAACGTATTCTTCACCTAAGAAAAAAAAAAATCATAATATTACAAAAAAAAAAAAAAAAAATGTTAAAAAAATATTAACATCTTGCATGTTAAAAGAAACATAATCTGACCACCACACTTACAGTGCAGCTCTATGACTCTAGGCAGGTTCACAAAGAGTAGATTGGCGAGGTCTGCAAATCCTGCATTAATCATAGGCACTCTGAATACCCTCTCCATTACCTTCAGATTCCTCACGTGAGCACGCTCCGTGTAGAACAGCTCTGCAAAAGGGGGCAAAAAGCTAATTATTTGTTGTATTGAAGTAAAGATTATCCCCTAAAGGCACACAGAACTTAGAACATTATATATTACAGGAAAAAGAAAATATAGTTTTCTTGAAAATGTCATCTCTTTTCCCTTGAACTCCAAGTTAAAATATATCATGGGAATCTTTCAAAAAGTCAAATGTACTTTCTTTTCCTTTGAACTTCAAGGTATGATATAAATATGATATAAATCTTCCAAAAGGTCAAATTCCCATCTCCCATGTGTAACACTGCTTGCCATAGGTCACAAATTTCATCCCAAAAGTGTAACATTGCTTGCCATTGGTAAAAAATCCATATTCCCATGTGTAACACTGCTTGCCATTGGTAAAAAAATCCCCATCCCCCAAGTGAAACACTGCCTGCCATAAGAGTTCTCACCATTCATAACTTCCTGTCTCTTCCTCTCCTTTGGTTTCAGCTTCTTATACATCTCCCTGGGCACCAACTTCTCCAGTGGAGGCATGGACGTCTCCACGTCAAAGTCGCTGTCATGTTCCCCACTTGTAGGTTCCACGGTCAAGTCATCACTAGAATACAGAGGTGGATCTGATTATACATGATGAATAGCATGCTGTCTTTTATTACCTAACAGCTTAGAAAGCTGATGACATGAAATAAATTTAACAAGAGGTTTCACTCCATTTATATGAAAAATAATCACTGATGTGCCACCTGGAGACATTAACACAAGTATAAAAACTACAGACATTGCATTATGTCTATAACAACAGGTGCAAGGAAATGCATGGAAAAGTCAAATGAATGGTCTTCCATTTTCCTTTATTCACTGTTGGATTCTTGGAAGATACAGCATCGCAGGCTCTCATCATTTCTCAGTGACAAACTTTATGTGTTAAACTTCAGCTGGAAGAGCTGTCCACTGTACTGGCAAATGTGGTGGATGTGACATGAAAGTCCAAGGTAAGCTTGGTGTGACAGTGATTTACATTTGTCAATGTGTTAGGTGTGAAAATATCTGGGTGTGACTGTGCCCTGGATGTCAAAGTGTGTTACTTGAGACAGTGTTCTGCAATTGACCAATTGTTGGATATGACAGCGTGTCAGATGTGACATTGTCCTCTATGTGACAGTGTGTTAAGTATGACACTGCTGAGGATCATGACAATGTGTTAGGTGAGACAGTATCCTGGATGTGACAGTGTGTTAGGTGAGACAGTGTCCTGGATGTGACAGTGCGTTAGGTGTGCCAGTCTGCTGTGTATGCCATTGCACTGTATATGAGTGTGTTGGCTGCACCTACCTTCTCTGGGACAGACTTGAGCTAGAAGAGCTATCCACTGTACCAGCCAGGGCAGTCTTCAGGGCATCTTCATCCTTGTCCACATCACTGTAAACATTAAAACACAATGCAAATATTAGCAAAAAAATCAACAGTAATCATCCTATATGAACATATATTTATACAAATAGGTGAATTTATGCATGAGAATTTAACAAAGTGTTTTCAAATAAACTGCGCCAATGAGCAGTTAAGTTTTAACTAGTACACAATAAATGTGTAGCCAAATATTATTTATCTTGATTCATTCTAATTACCAATGGTACTTGCACATAAAATACATGACGGAACAAATATTATGAAAAACACATATATCAACTAGCAAAGGTAACATACTAGTGTTATAACACAGTGTTCAATTACCGCCTCTCATTTTCTTTCATTTCTTTCACATCTATCTTGTGAAATTGTGCACATACTCAGAATACCCCCCAATCATCCAGGTACAAACCACTCTGGCTACACTGTTTCTATGGCAACATACCTCTTGGTCTGCCTCCTCTTAATTGCACTACTGAAGGGCCTGCCCCTCAGACTTTCCGACCTCTTCACCTCCGTAGTTTTCTCTGGCTCACCATCAGCCTTGGTAAATGCTGCCGTGGTAGCTGAGGAGTTGGCCTCCGGTTCTGGCGGACTCTCAAACTTTTGTATAACACGCTTGACATACTTGTTGTCTTGTGCAGCAGCTGATGAGATAGACATTATTCTTCTATATATTTATATTATTAATTAGACAATGTAGACATATGATTTTACTGTATACAAGGTTCATACATTTTACATTTCCTTTTAACTGAACTGATAAAATGCTTAAACAAAATTACAATTGTGTACTCCACAACAAATGCACAATAATGATAATGCTGCTGATAATAATAATAATAATAATAACAAAAAAAAGTGTACAATTCAGTCAACATTCTCTCTGCTCCTCTATGCTGGTGATCATAGAACTACACTGTGGTAGACGTACCTAAATCTGGCTCCTCCTCTTTCTTCCCAGCCTGTATGTAGAACGCCGTCCTGGAGGATGCAGCACTGGGGCTCACCGTCTCGTCCTCGGGACCTGGTGTTTTGGGGGGAACAACTGCAATTAAACAACAGGGGAACCATTAGACCTGTACCAATTATTGTACCAAACAGTCTTGGACTTGGGGCTGATATGTAATCTCTTCTAAGCTCAAAATGTGTGTCTACCAAAAAAAGATTAAAAGATCTTCTATAAAACTAATAACTACAGGTTCAGTTTTCCCACTTCTGCTTTTGTCATTAAAGCAACTGGGGAGACTAACATAACAGTTAAGAGAATATCATGAAACCTTAATCAAAATATGAACAAAATTAGACAATTCATTTTTCCATGTAAAAATCTTTCCTCTGAAAAACTTCACAAGACCACACCTAAAAGTACAACGTGTAAAACAATGACCAACACAAAGAAGGTCTTAGTTATGTTAGGCCGCATTCAGAACAGAGAACTAACTAGTCCGCAGGTCAAATATAGCGACCCACTAAAAAGCCTGCCATCTTATCTGCTAATAGACACTGAATAAATTCCCTGTGGGGAAGTATTTAAGTGGGTCGGCCATATTTGATCTGAGGACTTGTAAGTCTGCTGTTCTGAATGCGGCCTTACACACTTTAGGTCAGCTGTCAAGGCGGCCATTACAGACAGCACTTTCTGGGTTGTATCTGTCCCTAAATCTACAACAATGTTAATGTAATACAAGTGGCATGTGATAGCAGTGCAATGTTATCTCTGGTCCAAGGTGAATACTCTGGCTACATGCTGATATGCAGATCTGATAAGCCAAGTACTGTCTTTTGTCTATATCACCCACAGTAATATGATTAGGAAATCAGGGGAACTACCTCAGGGGAGAACAATCAGACAGGAAGCCCTTTAAATTCCTATTCATTTGGACTCATCCCAGCCTTAAATTCAATATGTTACTCCTGGTTTATTAATGACATTATTAACAAAGTTTGAGATTTTATAAGGCTGTTACCAGGGCTTCTAGGAAATGATACACTGGCACCTTGGCGTATTGACATTAAAACAATGCTGTGTTTTTGATAAAAGTTGCCATCATATCCTCATTTCAAAGCATAACAGGATGCATTTGGATTATTTAAGATATTAAATTAAATGCACACAATTTCAGGACTTCAGTCCTCACTTTCAAAGGTGAACCATTGTCTGGTTTTCAACAACTAAAAGAGTAAATAAATTTTTAAAAAGATAATATTAATAAAACATATACATTAAGGCTTATAATACAGCCTATGCTTTTCAAATACCTCATGCTCAAAATGAGTTAAAAATAGGGACATTCTTAAGAAGATAAACTAATTATACTCAACTTATCACCCATTTCTAACCAAAACATAATAAATAGCATTCCTTTCTCCCTCCATATCTGCATACTAACCCCACCCAATGATGTGCCCACTCATTTCCCCATTAACATCAGTCTGCCTTCATTCTCTCTGTCTCTCCCTCCCTAACCTACACATGTATGCCTAACTGGGCATATCTTGATCTTCCCCTATAGAGTGTGCCAAGTGTGAAACCACTGAAAATCTAGCAGGCACTCATGCAAGCCAAACTCTGCCAGGGCAACCTGATTCTTTATGAATATATAAATTATTATTCAATCAATCAATTAATGGATAACCACCAAAATCTAATCGATATTAAGTTCAGTCATACAATTATACTGTCATATTACTACTAAATTTTTCAACATAATCACTTTCCCCAGCATCTTTCTCAATGTTGAAAATAATACCAAATAATATCAGAGAATCCAACATTGCCAGAAGCCCAAGGCATCCTTGTCACTGTAATTGTCTATTTATAGCTTGTTATCTGTAAGTCAAGCACCTGTGGAACATATAACCTTGAAATATTTACGCCCTCAGAAAACGGTTAATCATCTAATGTTCTGTGTTTTTCAAGGGAGGGGAAGGGATGGCTAGAGGAGGTTTGAAATATTCCAATCACAACTTGAATTTAATGTATACAAGCAAACATTTTATTTTCTGATATGGGCTTGTCATTAATAGTTTCAATATTCACCGAGCTATAATTATCAAAATTTGTCATAGATCAACATCTGAAGTGAAGGGGTAGACAGTAAAAATGGTCAAATTTTGTGAAAATGTTTCAAGTTGGCCTGACTGTGTATCTATGTCAATACTGCCTCTGTTCTATGAAATGGTAGGACCCTATCTCAATAATACGATACTGTGATTAACAAAATTTCCTCAATGTTTTGATTGTAATTCCTAACTCTTCAATTCATTAATTTGGAAAAATGAATTGGGTTTAGAGGATAAATCTGATAAATCTTGAAATAAAACTCATGTTGAGGATAATTGAAATGTTTGAAATAATCTTTCTGTTATTGTTTCATTATTCAAACTATTACCTATTCATTTTATAACTTGAGCAATTTTTGTACATGACAGATAATAAAACTGCACCTTTCTTCCAATGTCACAGAAAATGTTTTTATCCCAGGCAAAACAGGACTTTTCTATCATTTTTTTCTGTTTTCTCAGCCATATCATGGTGAAATTGGCATAAGAACAAAAATTACCCCATCAATTTCCACTGCGTAGAAAAATAATTAAACAGTCAGAAGCTTCTTGGTTTTTAACATACATTAGATGCTCTTGTATACTTGTGTATATCTATGTGGATGGTCAAAGACTGCATTCCTAACAGGTCTAACTTAAATCTAAGCCAGTTGACTTATATCGTCACCACTGGCATATAGGTTCACAGAATCATGATAAACACCAGTCTTCAGTTCTAAGATATTAAACCACTCTAGCAATGAAGATGGAAATTGGTGCAACTGATTTGTGTAATTTCCTCAATGATTTTGCATCAGGAATATTTGCATCAGGTGATAACTTAAGGGATAAATTGTTGAAATTTCCATAATTTTTTAAAGTTATAATATAAAGATCTAATGTGAGTTGTATGCCTTGATGTTGATACTTACAATGGTTGTTATTATTATTGGTCTCTCCTGGCATAACTATGAAGTGATTGTTAAATCGCTTCACGAGGTGCGATATAGACGACTTGGCCCTGGGCATTTTCATCAGTTGAACGCTGCTTGGTATCCAGGAAAAAGGAATAGTGTTCCAAGGAATGATTTCGCAATCAAATAATTTTAAACTAAAATGTTACAACCTAATAGCTGATCCAACACATATTTTCTCAAATCCTGAAATCAGCTGACTTGTAACCATGGCAACATTCCATAACGCACCTCTGGAGTATCAGTGACAGTTTGAGCTGTAAGTAAACGCGGTATAGCTCCAAGGGAAGGATCAGCCCACTCGGTGTACACCGTTTCATACGAAATAGTCCTTCTACATCACTGAATTTCCTCAAGGCAACTATGGTATAATGTCCGACTATCCTTGCATGACACTCCTACTATTAACATGAATATTCACCGTTTAGCACAGAGCACATCTACTCATAGCCTGACTGGGACTATTTTCCTCTTTGCTATCTGGATTGTCATTAAGTCATGACACTGCTCCACACATAACCAATCTATGTAGATCTGTCTAGAACAGTAATACTGCTGGTCCTGTGCCCAGATGAACCAGACAAAGTCTCCCTGTAGTCTAGTCTGCTGTCAAAATGAGGAAAAAAAAACACATATCCTAAGGCTCTGAACACAAAGCTACAAGTTATGGTCTTGTTCCTTTTAGACCCTAAATTAAACAATGGTCACAGGTCGCTAGTCCTGAGGTTCTTGGTTAGAATATAGAATCTTATCCAAAGTACTTCAAGTCACTGTAAACTACAGTTTTTTTCTGATACAGGTGGGCTGGTCCTAGCCAGGTGTAATCTGTCTTGATTACAGTCCTTGATGTCCACAGCTCAGCAAATCACAACACCGCCTTCCTTAGCAGCCTTGCTCGTTTCAATAGATACCCATCATTTTCATCAGACTAACTAGGGCCATTTCCCCCCAGTGCTGCTGCTGCCGCCGCCGCTGCTGCTATCTTGTTTACCCTTCAGAACCGTTGTTCTGCTTCCGAAGATGCTGTTGAAATGTCAGTGTTCCAGTAAGAACCAGGCACTCTCTCCCTAGATGATAGTAGAAGGAAGATGTACACACTTACACATACAGGTGAGCTATATTGCCTCACCTGTCAGGTATGCCCTGTTGTTGCCTAACCATCAATGACTGGACCAGCTTTTGTTTTTTACCTTTTCAAAAAAGCCTCAGGTTAGGACCCAGTAATGTTTTTAACATGGCTATCAGGAATGTAAAAGTGTTGTTTTTTTTTCACCAATTTTCTTCGTTTAATGGATAGGTGAGTTTCATAACAGCTCATGTCAAATGACCTTTGTTATCTTCCACTCTTAATACATCAGAGCATTTTTTCCATCTTAAAAAATACCATTTCACCTGTGAATTAGTCAGTCTTACATAGGTAACTGTCCTTTTGTCACTCTCTCCAGCATGTCATTTTAACCCTCTAACTCTGACCAAACCAGACGTCTTAAGATGCCTCGTGTACTGTTAAAGGTCAACTCGACCTCGAAGATATTTCCCCTGCTGCCCCTTACGCCACACATTACATTTCCAAGCACTGGCTTTTAATAATGTTCAACCTCAAAGCAAAGAAATGTCTTGTTGCATTTAACTGCTTTTCCCGTCTTTAAGCGGTACACAAACACAGGTAAGCTATTTCACCTTTCTTAGAGCCTCTAATTGATAGCGGTGTTCCAAGGCCAATAAAAATTACGTCCTAGTTGGCTTTTTTTTACCTGCCAAGCCCAACATTATGGATGTACTTATTAAAGTGCTCAGTCATTAAGATAAAAAAAGAGATTCCTAGGTCTTTGGCTTCCACTACACGTCAGAGGGTAGCTGAATCTAATTGCTATCCGTTAAGCCAAGGGTCAGGTCATCAGGATGTTAATGCTTAACCCTGTAAACCATTGTTAACACCTGCTTAGTGGTCAGTAAATTACAGGTGTCAAGCAGACTGGTGGTCACTGGTCAAGATGAAAGTGACACTTTCACTTAGCGGTTGGTGAAACCAGGCCCTATCAGTGCTTTAGTCTGTTAGATGAGGTCATCACTAGGTTCAATTTGATTGATAGAAGTCTGACATTAAATTTCAACAGGTCTTAGCATATACCAGGTTGTAGAATTTCATGGATCAATACCTGGTCTTAATTGCCTCATTAATACAGCCTGGTTTAACTGCCTCTGAGTCCCTTTAAAGAGTTGGGCAGTGATTTCCGAACATAACAGATAAGAATAAATTTTGCATAAAGTGAAAGAACTTTATAAGTGTGTGCTTCCACCACTTCCCACCTTCTACCAGCGCCCCATCATCAAAGTTTTTATGGTGTGAATCTCTAAGTCGATTGTCAGTTTTTCAATCAAAATTGGACACTGTCAATGCGACCTGCTGCAGATGTTGTTGCTATTCAACTTGACAGTCACCATACTGTGAAACCTTTACCCTGTGCCTGTTTGACTATTTTGCCTATATCCTCGGCTTATATTCTGAAGGCTTATTTTCTATCCTGTTAAATATATCTCCGTTCTTTATCTAAATTCTGTGGTGGCCATAGAGTCCAGTGCAACATCTAGAAAAGTAAATCCTGCAGTAGGGCTGATCCTGAACTCTTGATTAAATTAATTATCCAAATATTTCCATAAGACCATAAAGACAGATGAGAAGTATTCCATCTGGAAAACTACGAAACGTATTTTTTTTCATTGAACATGCTCTTTTTCTAATTAAGTACCATATCTACAAGCTTTAAATCTGGTATTTCAAAAGCTGACTTTATAATGTTCTGGATATCAGTAAAAAAAATTTCAAAGAATTGTGAAGTTTCTCCTGCTTGATCTTATTTGTCAACGGCTTTTTCAAAGTCAATTGGTTATGCCTGATACTGCCTCAAGTCTAACACTACTACATGATCCCATTGCTTTTCCAATGCTGTATAAATATCTAAACCTGATCACAATCTTCTAGTTTATCCAGGTAATAATCCTTGTCTTTACGATTTATCCAATTGTCACCTCATGAACACATTAAATACAAGTCCTGATGCCTTCAGGTAGACTATATCACCCGTGTTACCACCTGAGCAAAAAGAGACACCAGTAAATACATCAAATCCTTTAATTTAGGTGTGCTAGGATGCCATATAGGACAGGTAAGTAATTGCCCTTTAGCTCACAAAAGTGCCAAAACAAACACGCCATGTGACAGCGATGATTAACCTCTGCCGAGGCCCAGCCTACCATGATTTGTGGCGATGTCGCCAAAATGACGCAAGTGTTAACCAAGGCCAAAACATGTATTGAACACGCACACGTCTACCGACATGCATGTTCATGCCCCATTAAATTCCCATCTAGTACTCAGAAGCAGAACAATTAATCTGGGTTTCCTATATTCCATGCATCATCTGAATTAAAGTATGTTCAGAAGTTTTGACTGATGTGCCTATAACCGTCCCATCATGTGGGATTAATGACGGCTATTACACTAATGTCTTATAGCACACACTGAACCAGTGTCTTCTTTTGTGTCCTCCAGTGGAAAACTAACATAATACAGAGAAGGCAGGGAACTTGAATCTACATGTAGAAGCAACAGTAACTTAAATCCCACTGTTTAACAGACCATATATAAGATTGTGGTGAGGTAAATATAGTTAGCAAATTTTCTTTCTGACTCTTCTGTATAGAGTTAAAATAAAATACAGAAGGCACTGAACTTGGATTTGGAAACAATGTGCCCACTTGTTTAACAACCTGCAGGTAAGATTTTGGCAAAAAGAAATACAATCAACATATTTTCTTTACCACTGCCATATAAAAACTAGAATGGTCTACAATATTAATGAAATTATTCCACCTTTTAATTACTTTTCTTTTGGTTTGATGTTTCAAAGGAAATCTGGTCTGTAATTGCTGCGTGAGATACCACTTCTTATCTTTGCATTTACATGATCTTCTTTGCGACTGGCTTTAAATGTCAGATATCATTCATAAAAGGGCTGTTTATATAAGATGAAATGCATCATCCAAATACACAGACTGAAATTAAGCCTTCCAGCCAACACCAATGTAGAGACCTCTACAATGTGTTAGATAAGACAGATTGTTTCAGCTATGATGCCCATTGCTTCAGTTGAGATGTGTCTGCTGACTGTACTTAAATCAGTAATAAACAATAAATACACATAATTCATTCATTCTATCACTGTTCAAACTTACCTTTTCCAGCCATTACACTGTTAGTTCAACAAACTTCATCTTCAACATAAAAACCAACCACTAAACACAAACATGCAGCTAAAACTAACTTAACAGTCACTCTTCTAAGTGCACCAGTATTTGCAGTGCACAAGAATAAAACAAACAGAAGGTTGAATGACTTTCAATAAAATAAAGATTGTCCATGCACATGCCAGTCTCACAAACCAATGTGGCTACAGATCCAACAGCACACAATCAAACACCTCTACAAAACTGTCTTGAAAGAATACATGTTTCTGAATGCACCAGGTAGTTTGACGAAAAGATAAATGTAAACATCCAAAAGAAAAGATATTTATAAGTAAAATAGTAAAACTAAGACAGAGATACAGCATGCTCTGAAAAGGATTTTATATAAAAAACAAGAATAAAGGTAGTGCCAGTATTGTTACCCTCAGGTAGAACCCTCAACATCTAGTAAGACAACACCTAGAATACCTTCTGTATGGTTGCTATGTGGCACGTGTGAGGGATTGCTCAGATGGTTGAGGTAGAACCCTAAAAGGATGCAAGCAAGCCATGTGACTATTATGTCATGAGCAAGTAAATATCATGTGACAGTCATGTGACATATGTGCATTTGAACTAAGGGGATCTTCCAGTGATGCTGATCTGATGCATTTTTCCACCACCGGCCTTCTTACTTCCTGGCATCAATGTCAATTAAACATGTATTGCCTAGTTATCATGCTGTTAGTGAGGGGTAAAAAAAAATTCATGCCTTTCTGTCAATAAATACAATACAATGGGGTTCACTTTCAACCTGTGAATCATTTTCTCACTGGAAAACAAAACCACTAACATAGATAATATGTCAAGTCAGAAAAAAGTAACACATGCTTTTGTTAAAAACAAATGAAATATATGGTATAAGCATTTCCTTTCCCCCCCTTTCTTATCAATCTATGGCCTCATTAAATTGGGTATTCCCTTGAGCTGTCAGTGGATCAGTCTAATGTCATGTCAGTTATGCAGGGAAACAATTAATAATCAAAATGAAAATAAAAATTCCAGGAAATATTTCTAATATTATGGGTGCCCCGTAATTCATGTCTTATTGTCGCAATCACTTTCCCAGGAAGAGGGTCGTCTCTATTGGATGAGATGATCATCCAGAGAGGGGCACACTCCTCGCTGAAATGGCCCTGCTCATGTATTGTAAACAATATGTAGACTGATTCCATGTTAAGACCTATTAGTGCAGAAGGGAACATAACAGCCTTGTTAGTCACTGCTAAGAGACTAATTGTCTTTAAAATAATAGAATAAATGGAGGGACGAATGGGCTGATGAAAAATGGGAAACTTTTCCAGGAAGACACCAGAAAACAGCATTTAACCATTCTTATGGTCACACTTCACTTGAAAATCTAGATTTCTTTTCTACAGATTACTGGGGGAAAGGTTCTAAAAATCTAAGGTATATTAAGTGGTTTCTGGAGTTTTCTTATCATCCTTATCAAATCATACATTCTTAAACTCGCATGTAGTTTTCCATTAGTCACTGTAGAATATGAGGTACTATAAAACTAAATCTTCCTCATATGCTTTTTACACTATAAACATCAAAACTGTCATCCACTGCTTAAAACTTATACATTATTTCTAAGGCAGGACTTTCAAGCACCTATTGGTTGCTCTATACATTTTCATTTTATATCATTCATGGTATCTTTCATATAGCTAACAGCCAATAGGTGGCAGCATCATCTAATACCTGTGAATTCACCTGGTTAATGGGGTCAAAGTGATATACATGTGAATTAAGTTTATGTATATTACTGTCATCGGCTTAAATGCACATATATAAAACCTCAAGGTAGGTAGAGTAGTGACTCAGAGGGAAAACTCCACACACACACACAC